CCCAGCCATCACATTGACTGTGGTGGGAGGGTGCGCCCAGGGAGATGCAGCCACTTGCTATGCGGGTGGCTCCTGGACAGGGAGGAGGGTTGGCCCTGCCCTGCAGTCACCTTGACCATGGTGGGGAAGGTGGGCCAAGGGACATGCCAGTTGGTCAACCTTTTTCTCCACAGTGTGGTGGCTCCCAGGCAGGAGGGGAGGGTTGGTCCTGCCCTGTAATCACCTTGACTGCGGTGGGAGGGTGGACCCAGGGAGACACAGCCACCCACAACTGTGCGAGTTGCTCCCGGGCCCCAGGCAGGGCGGAATGGTAGGCCCTGCCCCGTAATCACATTGTCTGTCAGCAGAGGGAGGGTGGGCCCATCCAAGGGTGCGTCCATCCTTAATAGTACCAGCAACAGTTCTCTCCTGCATGCTTCCAGGGGGAGGGGAGTGTCTCTCCTGAGGAAGTCTGCTGAAAGTTTGATGCCTCCCCTCTGCTAGGTCACACAGGGTCAGTCCTGTCTGTTCTATGGCCCAGAATCCACACTTGACATCATGTTTCCAGAAAGCACTTTCCTGAGGGGCTCCTTTGGCAGGCAGTAACTTGGACACCCCAAGTCAGGGCATATAGGGGGGCATCTGGGGGAGATCTGCTGCGAGTTTGACGCCTCTAGCTCACGCTGGGCCTGTTCTGTACCCTCCTGAACTCGTGCCTGACATCTCCCTGAAAAGCACTTTCCTGGGGGTACCTTGTTTGGGGGTCTGTAACTTGGCCTCTCCAAGTCCAGTCGTCACCAAACTTCGTGGGCAGGTAGAGGAGAGTCAGCTGGAAATGCTCTGTTGTTTTGGAGTTTCTAGGACCCCAGGGAGCTGCCCCACTGTGACCCAAACTTCTCGAGCCGGGTTTTCTCAGTCTGTGCCCATGCCTACTACTTATATTTCCAGTTGTTGCTCTGTGTTCTTCTACAGAAGGTACAGTATAAGATTTTTAAGCCCTCCCCCCAAAGAAAACCTCTGTATCAAGCTTGATATCCTATAAGTAGCAGAAAATAATTCTTGGTCAAGGAAACATGGTTGGAATTCTTCTTGCAGTGAACACAAGTGTTCTTTATCTGTTATCCCCACTTTTACATCTGTATAATAAAATTTGCTGCCTGCTTTAATTTTTAAAATGAACATCTAAAGTAGAATGTGCATCATGTTATGGTTTTAAAAGGATGGCTTCCAAAGGATTGGACAGGGTACTTTTTTTAAGAAATAGAAAGCAAATAAGTCTCAGTGTTTCTCACAGCTGTGACTATACAGATTTAAATTCTAACTGAGAAGTCTAGACTTAGGTGGGTGCCTCTCCACTTCCCAAGCCTTTTCCTTTTCTTCCAGTGGCAAAATCACATCTCTTTGCATGAGCAGATCTTCCTCCCTCCACTCGAAACGAATATGGATGCCCACACATGCACAAAAGCCTTATGTAAGCATTGGAGGAGACCTCTATTTTTAACGTTTAGAAAATTAGGAAAATTATGTTATAACTAATTACTGCTATCAATGGTTTTGTTATTATATTTTGAATTTACATAATTACATCTGGCCTTGTAGTTCTTCCATTGTCCTCTATTTACAGCCTTTTGTCCCCTTCATAACCTTGTTTATGTTTGCCTAGTGAGGGCTCACTCTACATTTGAGGAAGTGGACTACAGTCCAAGAAAATTTCAGCTAGGAATAAAAACTTTTTAGCCTTTAAGATGCCATAGGATTCCTGTTCATAGATTTTCCTTTGCTGCAGCAGGCTAACATGGCTACCCTTCTGGAATTATAAAATTTTCTTATTAATGCAGAGAAGCCTTTATCTCTGCACTGTGAGCGAGAACAGATCAGCCCGCAGTCCTGTTGGCGTTCCAGTGCTTACATGAGGCTTCAGTTCATGTATGGGCATCCATACATTTGAAACAGGAAGAGGAGCTTTGTGATATACATGTGTCAGACCAAATATTACTGCTATCGCTAAAAGCTGAAAAGTAAAAGAGAATATTAAACAGAAATATGAGATCTTTTCTTAAAAAAAGTTTATTGCAAAACTCTTGTGTTTGGTAGCACTTCTAGAGTTCACTAATTACAGTACAGAACAATCCAGCGATCTTGCTATGACCATGTTTAATCCTGGTTTTGGGGTCTTTTGTGCACACACACACATTCTTGGTCATGCTAATATGGTATGTACATAAACAGTAATATTGTGCAGTCAGTTGTATACATTATTATTTTGTACTGGAAATCCTTGTAAAAAAGATTACAGTAGAACCTCGTTAATCTGCAGGGCAGCTATGCTTTCATGTAATATGCTCCTCGCCGTAATATCCTCAGTACAGTTATAGTAGTAAAAATACTGTCTTGCATTATTGAACGTACATTAATTTTACAGTTAACATATATGGTATATTTTGCTAGAGGTGTAATGGTGAATAAAGGTTTGTCAAATAAACCACACAGTTTTGGGAACACACACTCATGCTTGTTCATTTACTCATCAGTTCAGTGAAAGACAAGCCAGCCACCTCTAGAGAAGGTGGTATATGTATATGTCTTCCAGTTACTGGTGCAATTTATCGAGGTTCTACTGTAGGTGATAAAGTGCTGAAGGTATACAACGAACACTAAACTGCAACATGATCTCTGTAGTTCTCAAGCAGTAAGGGAGAACAGATTGCTGAAGTCACTTGGACACAAGCACCTTTTCTGGTGTTTTGGACATCTTAAGAAGCCCTAGATGGAAATTACTTTAGTTGAACATGCTTCCAAAAAAGTATGCTTATGGTCACTGACTGATATTAAGGACACTTAATCCAAGTGTATGGGCCACTGAAAAGCTACAAGCATCCCCATACATATGTTGGGGTGACAGCCAGAAGTCCTAAGCACAATGAAACTGCAAGGATGTAATCTATATACTATTAGCCACATGTGTCCCCATCTGCGGATAGCTAAATCCAAGGATTGGGGCCACACAGAGGCTAAACAGATTTCTCAGCAAACTTGGGGACTCCCCAGGTTTGCAGAAAAATCCGAAGATTAAAAAAACAAAAAACGGGGAGGCTTAAGTCCCCCTAAAGTAGAGTTCTCTGCGGAAATGCAGAGAATGAATTTGCTTTCGGCAGCAGTTGCGCCAGGGCTCTGTACTAGGTCAGGTGGCAGATGTGCAGCCCAGAGCTCTGCACTGGGTCTGCCAGTGGCTACACAGCCCAGAGCTCCACGCTGCACCCAGCAGTGCCTACATAGCCTAGGAGCTGTGCTGGGCATGCTGCCACTGACATAGGCCAGGAAACGTGTTGGGCATACCGCTGCCCGGGAGACACGTCAGGCATGTCACCATTGGTGGCACAGCCCAGGAGTTGTGCCAGGCCCGCAAACAGCAGAGATGCAGGTCTGGTGTGAGTGAGAGAGAGGGAACCTTCCCCCATGAGTATTTTGGGTCTACACTTGTGCATTCTGAATTCAGGTACTGGAAGGTTACATTAAAAAAAACTTATTTACAGAGGAAGCTTTAAGCAAAAGCCTGCATTGCAAACCAGATTGTCCCTCATAGTACACAGATACTCTTAACAGTGCAAATAGCATGCAATGCCATTCCCACTGAAATATGGAGGAACCTGTCCACCTGTACTGCATGTACTCAGAATTAAAACATACCTTTAACCCCCCCCCCCTGAGTTGTCTAGTGACAAACAAGAATGCATATGAGAGGAGCAAGCAAGCTCATGTTTCCATGGGTAATTATGTGTTGTAACTAAGTGAACACCTAGTGTTGCCATCTTTTAAAAATTCCCTTTCTTTTAATATAATTAACTGAACACTGGAGAAAAATCCCATCCATGTAGCCTAGTTCTGCTCTCTCTGAAGCAAGTGGTAAAAATTTTACTGGCTTTCATGGGAGTTAGATTAGCCTCCAGGGTGGTGGTTTAAAACATTTTTAGGACCAGTTATTTTATGCCTGTGGCAGCTATTAAATATGCATGTTATATTGTAAACTTCTGTACTTGTATACTCAAGACTGCTCCCTCTTTGCTGTTTTCTGTTTGCTACAGTGATTGCTCTGTTTTATTTATTCAACTGCAAAGATTAGTGCTACTGTTGCACATGGACAGTAAGAGACGTCAAGACCCAATTCATACGTTTTGCCCCTGTGTGGTCACTGGTGGGACTGCTGGGATGTTCATGCCCTGCTGGGAATAAGGAGGCTGTATGAAAGGGTGGCTCCATATATAGGCCCCGCCATTCTTGGGACGACCAATGTTAGAGAGGGGTAACTGATCACATCAATGGCAGGGGCCATCCGCTGCCTCACATGGAGGTCCTATTTCACACAAGCTGTGTCTCCTATTTGAGTCAGGTGGTGAGCTCCTGGCAGCTCTGTATGTTCCCAGATGAGAACAGCCAAATTTAAGAATTGGGCTGAATCATATATACAGTCTCAGCTGATGCAAGCACTAGTCAATCCCCCCAAAAATCAATAGAATTGGGCCCTTTATGAAAACTAAAGATCTGACTGAAACATATTAAAATATCCAGTAAATTACGTTTTATCCCAGATGTTCTCTTACTCAACAAAACATGTAAGGTTTGGTTTTAACTACACCTATGGTCCTAAGTAAATATAAAGCCTAATATGCTTGAAATCTTTACTGAAATGAGGAACCATGCTCAGAATTAAATAGCTTTCTCTCAGTTTTGGGACTACAGTCCTGGTGTTTGAGAACTATGGTCTAGAGGCTATATTTTTTTAAAGCACAGGTTATCTCAAAACTTTATTTTTAACAAGGAAAAAAGAACATGTTCACTGTAAACAATGCCTTCTAAAAAATTCAAAATGTTACACAATCCAAAACAGGCATTGAAAATATTGTGGAGAATTAAAAAAAAAAAAAACCTGCCCAAAGAGCCCCTCTCTAATACTCTTAGAATAACTTAATAAATACTAGTTTAAATTAAAAGATGATACAACAGTATTGATCTGTCTGGTGACTATAGAGAAGTAAAAATCTTAAGATTTTTAAAAAACTGGAATGAAAGCATCTTGTAATGAAATATTTGCCATAATAACTGGCCATAAAAATAAAAGTGGTAACCTCCAACTTACCAGCGTTTATAAAATTCAAGTGAACTTTTCAAAAACAAAACCATCTGGTAATTGTCTAAGTCTACCTCTCAGTCCAGCCTCCTTTAGCTCTAATAACATCAATATTTTAAAATTTTACCTTGTAAGAAAACTTAAAATTCAGAATTGGTTCTACCAAATAAACTCTCTTTCATCCCTACTTTAGTTTGATGGAGCAAGATATCTGGTGTAAGATGCTAGCAGGCAACAGGAAAATGGTAAAATGACCATTTTAGTTACATGGCCAATATTTGGATTTTCCTTAAACTAACTTTATACACCACAAATCTGATGTTCTTTGTTTTTTTGTTGTTTGTTTTTGTATGTTGTCTATTGCTTATTAGGAATTTGAGCTGCATCTTCACACAAGATAGGAATGCTTTTTTGTGGTCAATGAGAGTAAGCATTCCACGTGTTGACAAAAGTTATGTAAAGATAATTGATCTTTCTGAAAGGATTGATAGGATCTGTTCACATTTAAGATTTTGCATTCCCTTTTAATGTGTATTTTGTAGAAGGTAGATCAGAGCTAACTTTGCTTCCCTGCCCCAAGTCTGTTAACACATGTATTTTCTACTCAAGCCATGTTGTCACATCCTCTTACAGAATCCTCACTCTTGTCAAGGTCAGGTTCTATAAAGTCATCTGGTACATTGTGTAAAGGTTCCGAAACAGCCTCATCTGCTGGTTGCTTCTTACTTTGACAGAGCACTTCCTTGCAAGGCCTCACCAAAGAAAGGAACACAGCAGCCAGCAGCATTCCAGCAGCACAGGAGTAGAATGCAGATTTGTAGTTCTTTGTGGTATCCACTAGCATACCTGTGAGGGGGGAGAAACATTAAACTTACGTTAAAACCTTAATTTCACATTGATCTGTAGCACTGCCTTGCACAGCCCACTAGAAATGGCATATAAGAATCTATAAAACTACAGACTGTGCTCCAAGGAGAAAAGCCTGTGCTGACTGTCTTTTCAGGGCTCTCAGTTGAAACACCCAACATTTATTCCCCAGATTAAAAAAGCAGGGACTTTGTGTAAGAGCAGTTTAAAGAGAAACATAGGGGGTGTTACTGGAAATGTAGCAAAGATACACACACAATATTTCCCCAGTATTGCCCTTTGATCTGCCGTTTTGCTAAATCCCTAAACTGGCGTGGTGGTGGTGGAAGAAATTAAAGAGCAATTCCATAAGAACAGTTTCTGGGGGGAACCCTACAACTTTTTATGTGCACACACACACACCCCCGTGGATTGCAGCCACACACACATCCCAATTGGTTACAAGCTGAAAATACACAAATACTTGGAACTATGTCCCATTGACTTCAGCAAAATGTAGTTGGAAATATGTGTTGGATATCATCCAGTTGAGTTCAAGCTTGTAAACAGTGTCAGAAGTACAGTGGAATTGCTTTCTTGGACTGCAGTATATAACTTTCATATAGTCTATATTTTGTGGGCTTTTTCAACAATAAATTAAAAAAAACCCCTATCATATTTCAAGATTAAATGTGTTGTGGTGGCAGTGATACTTTAATGGCTACATAGAACTAATTGTGGCTTTCATGATGAGGGAGATCTCCTTAAACAAGGAACAGATGCTAAAAGAAAGGATCAGTTTTTGTTTGTAGCTACTGGACAATTAGGTAGAGAGACCGGTTCTTGTCAGTGCAGTGTTGTGTGTCAGATAGCTTAGCTGATACCCCTTCCTGTCTCGCTTCCTCTTTGTGAACCTTCAAGAAGATTTTGTTCCAATTGGTCCTATTCCTTCCCTGTTCTTAGTCTTTTTAGTCTGTTCTTACACAAACCCCAAACAAGAGTTTTAACTCTGTGGATGAAAACAGAGATTTGGATTTTTGAGACCTGAGGCATTACCTTAGGCAAAAATCACTTCTCATTATATAGCTGCCGTGAATAATAATACACAACAAATTCTAAAGCACATGTAAATTAGATTAATAAGTAATAGCTATGTTGATGGTCCAGATATCTCTTGTCTTCATTATCTTTAGCAAGGATTGCACTTTGAGGCTGAGGGTTTAGATGATTGCCTTTAGCAGGGGAGGGGCCTAGGCAAAGTCCAAATGCTTGGTGTCACTGCAGTATTGTGGGGGCACTGAATATCTTCCACAATTTGCATAAATGGTTTTAATCCACCTGGTTTCAGTGAAAGTTATCAGGGTGATAGTAGGCAAGATGAGTTCTTTAAGGAAGCTAATGGAACATTGGTGCTTTTGAAAACTCGTATAAACTGTTCTGGACCGGCCAGCTCTTTAATGCTGTCACTGTCCAGGAATGCTCTACTTTTTGTCATCCATGTACTCTTAGCTTACACAAGACATTTTGAAAGCATCTGTCTCACTTTGTGGCTTTTACTTGGTATATGCTACTATCCTACTTTTTGAACACTAATGACAGAACATCTGAGTATTTCGGTCATATGTTTTTTGTTTTTACCTGAAAGGGGTGGTCCAGCCAATCCTGACAAACTTTGAACAAATACATAAACCCCTGCAGCAGAAGACATCTTCTCGATACCAACCACATCATCTTCGGCCAACATAGGAATGTGCGTGCCTGCCACAGTTCCAAGCATGAATCCAAAGAAGATGCTACACATCATTAACCCCCAAAATTCATAAGCAAAAGGGAAAGCAAAGAGGGCAACATCCAGCAGAATGACACAGATGAGTTCAATGTAAATTTTTCGGATAGGCTTTTTGTTGAGGACCCAGCCAGCACTGATTCTGCCAAAGACTTCAGCGATTGCCATTGCTGACAGTATGTATGCAGAACGATCTTTGTCGATGCCAAGGCTCATACTGAGAGGAATTATATATAGGGAAGGAGCAAAAAATCCCAGAGTGGCAAATAAACCAAAAAGTGCATAGCAAATAAAGCTATAGTCTTTCATTACAGAGAAGTCCAGGAGTTGAGTTTTTGGTTCCTTGTTAGGGATGCTACTAGGTTCTATGAGCACCTCTGTGTTTTCCTTTGGTTCTTCACTTTTCAGTTCCAACTTGGCTTCTCGATGCTTGTTACTAGGTGAGGTAGTTACTTCGACTCCTGAGTCAATGGAATCTATTGAGGTGCGTGTCTGCTCATTTTCAAGCATGTACTTTGTTTCTCTCTGCTCTTCCGCTGGCGATAGTTTCACTTCTTCCTGTGCTTTGATTATGATGGGTCGCAGCAGTGATCCACAAGCAACGATTCCAAGCTGCAGTAAGCCAACGAACAAGAGGCTGTTTCTCCAACCAACGTGTTCTTTCAAAGCTGTAATAGCTACAGAAGGGAATAAATCAATCTTTCATTAATGGAATAGCAATCACGAAATTTTGACAATATTTAAATCTCAGGTTTTGGATCAAATTATGCCTAAATGTGTACAAGTGGTCCCAGAGTTAATACAAATATACGTTTCCTGCACTCCTAAATAAAACGAGTCCAGCGGTACCTTAAAGGCTAACAAGATGGGTTAAATGATCACAGAAAGCAAGGAAGGCGTCTGTAGCACAGTTTGGAATCAAGGATAAAGGCAAAAATAGATTTTCTAGGCTGGAAAAGTACTAGGAGAAAGGAGTTCAACTCTTCACGACCCAGATTTTGGGTTTCATAGATAATGAACCCTGTGGCCTGTATATACATGTACACCAAATATCTTTCCAGGCAGACTCTTGCTTTACCCTCTTGGAACTGGAGTTACTGCTCAGCTTGGAAAAATCTATACTGGATTGTGTAACAGATCGTTTTGATAAGCAAAGATTGTGAAAATAATGCCAGGCAGAGTGGTTTTCCGCCCTGAAAAATTATGTCCACCATAACAAAGGAAGATCATGCCACTAGACAGTATGTACTTTGTGTAAGGGGGGGGTATGATTTCCTTTGCAAGGTCTCTTCTGCATACTTCCAAGGTAAACTGAGACAGTAATTAATTACCTTGGGTTTAATCTCGCCTTCAAGAAAATCCTTGTGCTCAGATGAGGGACCCCTTTCTCTAGCAAAAGAATATGCTTTCTAATGGCCTTGCCTGTATCTTCTCTTGTACAATTTTCTTAAGAGATGTAGTCTGTGTTCCCTCTAAGCTGAGTTAGTGTAAGCTAGCTCACAGTTTTTTAGCCTCCGGCTCACACATTTTAATCTTAGCTCAGGAAGGATGGCTCCAGAGCAAACAAATTTATGCAGTAGCCAAATTGCTCGCTCACAACTTTATTGCCAGTAGCTCACAAAGTAGAATTTTTGCTCAAAAGACTCCACAGCTTAGAGGGAGCATTGGATGTAGTGGTTCTTTGATGGAGGTGACAAAATATCTCTGCCCTTACCCACTTCTGCTTGCACATGAGATGACAGTGCCTTATATGAAGCATCAAGTTCAAGGACAGAGTGCAGAAACATAGTGTTGTCTAGTGGATGAACTGGAACTAAGCAGACCTGGGTTCAGATCCCTTTTACCATGGACTTACCTTGCTGTACTGTGAACTCAGAATTGGTCTCAATTTCAGCTGCTTGTCACAATAAAGAGCAAAGTGAGCCACAGAAACCTTGTAACCATGTGGGCCTAGGGAGCTTCCACAACCACACCCAAACAATAATTTGGAAAACACAGTCAAGACTGTAGGTTTTTTCCTAGCTGGGACACATAAATTAGCCCCTTACTCAGTGAATAAACACTCAGGTGGGAGCAAGTTTGAAAAAATCCCCATGTTGAAAGATTACACCATGAAGTCAGCAGAGCAGTAGATGCATGTCAAATTTAGGCCATCATGTGGCAAGTAGGAAAATTAAAGAATTGTGTTTTTCAGTACCTGGTGCAAAAGAGAAGACTGCAAAACATTCTCCCGTAGAAGCCACAGCTGTGACTAATGAACGTTTTTTGTCAAAGTACTGTGACAGAATAGTGACGGTTGGAAGAAAGGCAAGGCAGTATCCAAAGCCTATGAAGAAATACCAAAAGTGCCATTAGTGCAAAAAAGATACTGGATTAAAACCCCTAGAATTTTGCCTTCTCCTTGTGGTATAAAGCACTTTACCACTACGAACTTTCATTTGTGGTCTCCTTCCTGAGAACTAGCACATAAGAAGAAGAGGTTTTTATGCCCCACTTTTCTCTACCTTAAAGTGTCTCAAAGTGGCTTTCAATTGCATATTGCATTCCCTTCCCCCTCTCTACAACAAGCACCTTGTGAGGCAGGCAGGGCTGAAAGAGTTCTGAGAGAAGTGTGACTGCCCAAGGTCACCTAGCAGGCTTCATGTGGAAGAATGGGAAATTAAAACTGGTTCTCCAGATTAGAGTCCACTGCTCTTAACCACTACACTTTGTTGGCCACTCCTCAATAACAGTCTGATATGAAAATATATATACAGACGTGTGCTAGATGCCCACAGAACAATACAACAACAAATGAGACTAGATTAAAGCTGTAACATCATTTAGTGTGGGTCCATTTTACTTTGGCAGCAGCATCAGCATGCTTGGAAACAAGGGAGGAGACCTTGCCCAAATAGACTAACAGAAAAGTAAATCAATGAAAGTGTCAACTTGAATGTAAGACTGAATGTAAGATTCCTATATAGGATTTGTCCTGAGGAAAGACCAGAGGTCTGAAACACTTTGATATCCGGAAAAAGTGTTGACTGAAAGAGAGACACAGGTTGATTGAGTTTGGAGCAGACTGCGTTTGTGAATTTGGATAAGGATACAAGACTGTTAAGAGGGATATAGATTGAGAGAGACTGGAGCAGACTGCTATGTGAATTTCTATCAACCTTTGTATTTTTTCTATGAAGGAATATGCTGTTGTTTATTACTAGACACTAAAAGATGTTATGGCTTTAGCCTCATTCATTGTTGTATTGTTCTGTGGGCATCTAACACACATCTGTATATATTTTTTCATACCAGACTGTCTTGGGACTGTGTGTTATTCTTGTGGATTGTTCATTTCTCAATAACATCAATAACTGGGATTTTCAAATTCTTGGAACACAGCTTTCTTAATGGTAAAATCTCAGAATGCACACTGCCAGTGAGAGGGAAAATTACAAATTGTGTTCTGTCCATTGTGTTTGTAGACCACAATCCTAAATGTTTATCTTGCAAAATTATGGTGGCTGGCAATTTCACTAAAAGAGGGACTGTGTAACTCACCTGAAACTATGCCAATTAAAATATACATTTCAACAACTGTGCGTGCAAAGGAGCCTGCAACCATTCCGGAACTGATCAGTACCCCTCCAAGCATCACAGTCAAACGGTGACCAAAACGATTAGACAGGACTGTAGAGAGGGGAGCTACAGAAGACAAAACAGATTAATGTGTTTTAGCTTAGCTGGTTTGAATTATAGCAGGGGTTCCCAGTTTGGGCTTCAGGAATGGATGTGTTTCTCATGGAGAAGGAGATTTAGTAAAAGGCACACTTGTGCATTAGCACAAGGAAATACCTGTTGATATTGCAAGGAAAACAAAACACAAGCAGCAGCTTTCTTCTTTTGTAAAGATATGTGTTAGATTAATAAGGCCCCATGGTATCTACCTGCTTCCCCCAGAGTAACCTGAATTAAAAGGGAAGGAAATGTGAGTGAAGAAAACTGTTGACATCTGGATCACAGCAGTAGTGATTAAAGGTAAGTAGTTGGTCTGTGCTTCCTTTTATGGAAGTGATATTTTCCTTCTCCTGTATCAATAAACTCTAATTTCCACATGGAACAGATTTTTTAAATGGATATTAGAAGTGGTGCCTCTCAGATCAGAAAACAACTCTGTATCAGAAAAAAAGCCCTCATTGTTCTGGGCTCTCAATCCCAGTATATCTTTCGTTATAGAGAAGCTGGTCTAACTGAAGAGACTGCTGTCTGATTTAGGATAAACATTAAGAGGAACAATCCAAAGGGAGGGTGCACTTCTCCGGTTCCAGCCAAACTTGAAATCAACAGCACTGCCCTTACGCAAGTAGTGCACAAGGAGTGGACTGTGCCTAAAACACTTTGCACCTCTGACATTGTTCCTTCTGTGCCTTAGGTCTCTGTGCTCCTCCCTTCCTACACCTCTCACTCTCTTTCCTGGTATTTCTTTTTTCACTATTGAAGTGGCACTTGTCTCATAATGTGAGCTATCAGATGCCTGTACTTGTGATTAATGCAAAACCTAGCTGTCCCAGAAATCATTGCATCAGTCCCATAATGAAGTGAGTGTGCAGAATTAGCTGCAGATTAAAAAAAAATGAGCTGGATTTACAAATAAGGTGAAACCCAGCATTTGAGTGATTTGCTTTTTTTTTTTAGGGTGATCTGTAACGTTTTTAGTTAAAAGAAATATGTTAATATTACATACACATAGTTGCCAACCCTGTTAGGTTTAGTTATGATACACAGCCCTAACAGTCTTATAGAGACTAGTAAGGCATGCTTAAACTTGCTGAAGTGAGATTCAGGTTTACCGTAAGGCATATTCTAACTGCACAAAATCCTATTGTTTAGTGACACAGTTTAAATGCAGAATGTACTGTATACTCACCTGTGAAAGTTAACACAAATACACATATTGAGATTATCCATGATATCCTGCTATTTGTTTCATCAAAGCTTTCTACCAAGTCTGTAAAGAAGACTCCAAAAGACTTGATGATGCCATATGTCAGGGCTTCTATAAAGAAGAAAGCAAATGCCACAATCCAGCCCCATCCTCCATCAGGCACTTTATCATAAATATTTGGAGTGATGCATGACATTCTTGCAGGCTTGACAGTCATTTTTGATCTGGAATAAAAAGCATAAGGGGGGAAAATCAAGACATCCTCTAAAATGTGTCATAAACACAATTCTAAACATGTCTGCTGGAAAGGATGTCTGCTGAGTTCAGTGGGGCTTATTTCCTAGTAAACAGGATTAGGGTTGCAGATTTCATTAGAGCGTGACTGCCCTTTCATAGTGCATACAGTACTGACAAGCAGAGAGTATCTGACTGATGCTTTGGGCTTAAATATAGTATCCTAGCTGATGTTTCTACTTTTATGATCAGTGTAGACTAGTTGAATCAAGAACAAGAAAAATGTATCTCATCAAAAGGATCAGCTGTTTTAATTCAAGAAAGAGCAATTAAGAAAACAGTCATCTGACTTAAATACAGTGGAAAAGAGGCAATTTTATGGAAAACCCATGACTTCACCCAAATGCTGCAGAAGGATGCTCTTATTCACAATTTTTGGCTGCATGTGTACACCTTAACAGAAAATCAAGAGGCCTCTAGAAGCAACTTGCCCTTCTTGCCTTCCAGATTAGAGTCCTGTCACGACTCAAGTTTGTCATGCAGTTCTACATATTCAAGAAAGAGCAATTAAGAAAACAGTCATCTGACTTAAATACAGTGGAAAAGAGGCAATTTTATGGAAAACCCATGACTTCACCCAAATGCTGCAGAAGGATGCTCTTATTCACAATTTTTGGCTGCATGTGTACACCTTAACAGAAAATCAAGAGGCTTCTAGAAGCAACTTGCCCTTCTTGCCTTCCAGATTAGAGTCCTGTCACGACTCAAGTTTGTCAGGCAGTTCTACATATTTTCAGCATAGCTGGAAAGTTATGTAAACGATCCACAGAAGGATTTTTTAATACAAAGCACTGGCTGCCTATATTTAAGATACTTGGTAAGGGAACTTCCACTGAGTTTTACCTACTTCACTCGAGAGCAACAAAATCAAACAATTTATTTACATAGTTCAAATTTATTATTTGGCTAGTCTTGCTCATTGCCCTCTAGTGGTTCTTGGAAATATCTGTACATTTTAGGCTGTTTACATACTGCAGACACTTCTGAAAAGCACCATGCTTTAAAAAGAAATAAGTAACATTACTGTGAGGCAAAATGCAACCCTAGCAATGGCAGGCTGGGTACTGTGTCACCTGAAAAGTACAGGTACAAATGTCCACTCTCCTTTAGTTTATGTTTGACTATCAACTGCCTCTCTAGAAAGTGTCTAGTCAAACATCTGGCTTTTTATTCCACACTCTCGAGGATTATTGTAATAATTTTGTCCACTGCAGATGTGCTGCAATCTTTCTGCCTCTCCAGAGTGTTTCTGTTTTGTTATACGGGGATTTTAAAGACGTAGAACTATAACTGCTAACATTCAGTTCTTTAACTGAGCTGTCTCAAGACTTAAACAACCTGTTTGATGTTCATAAGAGGAAAAACAGTGTAGTGTTGGATTGTTGGAGTAGGATCTCGTCCAACACAGGTTTGTATTTCCAGTCTGCCATGGAAACTTGCTTGGTGGCCTAGGGCCAGTCACTCTGTCAGCCTAACCTACCTCATAGGGTTGTTGTAAGTATTCCATGGATATGGTGAGAATTATGTACACCATTCTAACTTCTTGGAAGAAGGGTGCGAGAAAACTCTTCTAAATAAATAAGTATATATTGAAATTCTAGTAATGGGCAAGTTACTATAGAACTGTAGCTATGCAAATTATGTTCTACATATGGTTCCAGTGCTCTTCTGAAAACAAAATCTTATGTCATGGTGGTTAACCTAATTGGCTAGGCTTTTTGTAATGGGAGAAAGTTTGATTCAACTTTAGTCGTCTGTAATTCTGTACAGGTAATCTTGTCTAAACTGAGGTAGCACCTGTATGCAGGAATTCATAGTTCTCATTGACAACATGATTTTAATGCAATTTAGTGATGCATAAGAGTGGAGTACCAATAGGTTTTGTAAAAAAAAAAAAGAATCAGGATTTCTCACAGTGAGGAAACATTAAATTATTAATACATTTGATACCAGTCAGCAGCTGTCTTTGGATGTATTTCCCAGGTGCTCTACTGAGAAATCATAATATTGTCCTCTGAAAATAATCCCACTGGAATGAAACACGGAGTCAGGGTTGCAGAGTGGAGACTGACTTTCAAACTTGGCTAACAAGAACCTCACTGAAGGAGGACTGCTTTCTTTTCCTTCATCTAACACATCTATGTGAGAAGCCAGAGCCATTGTGACACCAAACAGATATGCACAATACATAACATTTCGCCACAAAGAATGCACTGGCTAGAAACATTTTTTTCCTAATAATGCTTATGAAACATAGGACAGGACAATCTTTGCTTTAGATAACCCATTTTTCAAGGAACTCTAGTGGCAGCCTAGTGCTTCAAGCATAGTGTACAATTGGCTTTAATAAAACCGGTTATCTCTACCTTGTTCTAAATTGGCTAAAAAAAAAATTCTTCTCAATGAACCCTGCCAAAAGGGGTTAGAATTGCCAAAAACGGGGATTTGCAACTGAACCTGTCATCAGTTAGGTCAGGGAAGGGGACCCCATCACTGCATTAGGCAGATATAGATTTTATAACATGCTTGGCCATAGGGTGGGCGTAGCCTTCCCCCAACATGTTCCAGAGGTCTCTGGAAGCAGACCGATAGCTGATTAAAATGCCCGCTCTAATCCCGGCCACAGCAGGCAGGCTTTAATGCTAGTTTGCTCACTTCTGCAAAGTGCATGATGCTGCCAGCGCTCTTCAGATGATTCCGTTTCAGCAAAACACTTTGGGGTGTACTTGAGGCCTCACTGCTGCTTCCTAGAGAAGTATTGGGAGGCAACGGGATTTAAGCAACATGCGAGGTGAGCTTTGTTGAGTCGGGTCCAGATGCCTGCAAAATCTGCAGTCTCTCAAAGCAGAATTTGGATGGCCACGTTGCACCATGCGGTTACCTCAATCCGGTTTAAAGCGCCTTCACACCCTCTCTGGAATGCAGAGATGCGCAGGTCTAGAGCGGTGAATAAAGAAATTCTCAGGAAGCTTTTGGGGAGGAGAAAAGGGGAGAATGAAGGCAAAAAAAAAAGGTTCCTGAGCGGTGGTTCTTCCGGGGGGAGCCACACCACTAAACCTCCGGAAGACCGAAAAATCCCATCTACTTTCTGTGTTGGCTGTGGGGAAGGTTAGGAGAAAGAAGCGCTCATGAGGAAATACAATTTCTCCATCACTTTGTGCACCTGTAACGCACATTGTAGCTGGCTTCAAAATTGCGCCATTCAAAAAAAAAAGGAAAAAAAGTGCAGACACTGATGCTCTTCAGGTGAAGAAAAACAGGAAATGGCGTTTTCTTTTAAAAAGGCGACAGCAGCAAAGCAACCAAACTTCAGTGTCCAAAATAAAAGTCACTTACCAGGTCAGTAGAAGGTGTTGCTGCTGCTGCAACTTGGGGAGAGAGAGAGATGATGAAGAAAAGCCCCCCTCCCCAGCCGCTGAGAAGTGCAGCTTTAGGCTATGACCTGGTCAGTAACATGCTGAGGGGGCTGGGTACAACACGCAACCCTGCGCCCTTGAACCCCAGAGCCAAGGAAGTGGCTCGGGAAGGCACCCGGGGCGGGGGGGAGACTGCAGCCTCCTACTCCCGGTGGCGCCTACGGGGTAAGGAGACCCCTTGTGCTCGGCCAGAGGAGCAAGATGCTCCCTCCCTAACCCACGTTAGGCTCGCGCTGTCGAAGCCAAGGCTGCCCCATGCCCAACTGGGTGCGCTTGGCCTTTCAGAGGGTCGCTGTCCCGCTACCCCCCGTCCCTTGCTCTCTGCCTGCTTGCCCCCTTTCTGGCGTCCCCAACTGCTACCGTCTCCTGTATTTCCCTACTCCCGACCTCAGCTTTTTATACCGGCTGGAGCCGGTCTCTGCCGGCGGACCCGGCGCGCGCTGTAGCTCAGCAGCGCCCATGTGCGCGCCGGGCTCAGCTTTGCAATTGCAGCAGAAGAGCTGGCTTGCTGGCTCCGCGCGCTCAGAGGGGGGGGGGAGG